TCTTTTCTTGATGCCAGGATGGGGGCGTCGATCTTTTCTTGATGCCAGGATGGGGGCGTCGCTCTTTTCTTGATGCCAGGATGGGGGCGTCGATCTTTTCTTGATGCCAGGATGGGGGCGTCTTGATGCCAGGATGGGGGCGTCTTGATGCCAGGATGGGGGCGTCTTGATGCCAGGATGGGGGCGTCGCTCTTTTCTTGTACGTCACAGGATTCAGTTGGCTGTCTTGATGTTCTAGCCGTTAAAGTTACTTTATAGGGACAGGAGATTTGACAGGTGATCTGACAGGTGATCTGGCAGGTGATCTGACAGGTGATCTGACAGGTGATCTGACAGGTAACCAGACAGGTAATTTGTCAATTGATCTGATAGGTGACCCGACAAATAACCCAATAAGTGGTACGATATGGCATTAACCTTGATATTCGATCGGTCATCTGACATTCCTCCCTGTCATTTTTCATATGATTTGACCTGTCAAATGACCTGACAAGTGATCTGTCAACTGACATTCTATAAACCTGACTGTAAAGAGCATTAATGTGGCAGGTGAGTCTCGTGATGTTTGTGGCCCAGGTCTTTAAAGGCTGGTTGATAGGCTGCTGGCGTCATCCAGCGTCCTACAGCCGTCAGGTAAACGTTCTACAGCCGTCAGGTAAACGTCCTACAGCCGTCAGGTAAACGTCCGTCAGGTAACGTGCGTCAGGTAAACGTCCTACAGCCGTCAGGTAAACGTCCTACAGCCGTCAGCTAAACGTCCTACAGCCATCAGGAAAAGGTCCTGTTTGTGTTGCCCTTAAACCTTTGACCCACGCAGCCTTCAGGTTTGTGATGCATAACCTACACCACATCACCTACACCACATCACCTACACCACATCACCTACACCACATCACCTACACCACATCACCTACACCACACCACACCACATCACCTACACCACATCACCTACACCACATCACCTACACCACATCACCTACACCACATCACCTACACCACATCACCTACACCACATCACCTACACCACACTACACCACATCACCTACACCACATCACCTACACCACACCACACCACACCACATCACCTTACCTACACCACATCACCTACACCACATCACCTACACCACATCACCTACACCACACCACACCACATCACCTACACCACATCACCTACACCACACCACACCACATCACCTACACCACACCACACCACACCACATCACCTTACCTACACCACATCCCCTACACCACAACACCTACACCACACCACATCACCTTACCTACACCACATCACCTACACCACATCACCTACACCACACCACACCACATCACCTTACCTACACCACATCACCTACACCACATCACCTACACCACATCACCTACACCACACCACACCACATCACCTACATTACATCACCTACACCACACCACACCACACCACATCACCTACACCACACCACACCACACCACATCACCTTACCTACACCACATCACCTACACCACAACACCTACACCACACCACATCACCTTACCTACACCACATCACCTACACCACATCACCTACACCACACCACACCACATCACCTTACCTACACCACATCACCTACACCACACCACACCACATCACCTACACCACACCACACCACACCACACCACATCACCTTACCTACACCACATCACCTACACCACAACACCTACACCACACCACATCACCTTACCTACACCACATCACCTACACCACATCACCTACACCACACCACACCACATCACCTTACCTATACACCACATCACCTACACCACATCACCTACACCACATCACCTACACCACACCACACCACATCACCTACACCACATCACCTACACCACACCACACCACATCACCTACACCACACCACACCACACCACACCACATCACCTTACCTACACCACATCACCTACACCACAACACCTACACCACACCACATCACCTTACCTACACCACATCACCTACACCACATCACCTACACCACATCCCCTACACCACATCACCTACACCACATCACCTACACCACATCCCCTACACCACATCCCCTACACCACATCACCTACACCACATCACCTACACCACATCCCCTACACCACATCCCCTACACCACATCCCCTACACCACATCCCCTACACCACATCACCTACACCACATCACCTACACCACATCCCCTACACCACATCCCCTACACCACATCCCCTACACCACATCACCTACACCACATCCCCTACACCACATCACCTACACCACATCACCTACACCACATCCCCTACACCACATCCCCTACACCACATCCCCTACACCACATCCCCTACACCACATCACCTACACCACATCCCCTACACCACACTACACCACATCCCCTACACCACATCACCTACACCACATTACCACTGTACCACAACCCCTGCACAGCATCACCTACACCACATCCCCTACACCACATCCCCTACACCACATCCCCTACACCACATCCCCTACACCACATCCCCTACACCACATCCCCTACACCACATCCCCTACACCACATCACCTACACCACATCACCTACACCACATCACCTACACCACATCACCTACACCACATCCCCTACACCACATCACCTACACCACATCACCTAAACCACATCACCTACACCACATCACCTACACCACATCACCTACACCACATCACCTACACCACATCACCTACACCACATCACCTACACCACATCCCCTACACCACATCACCTACACCACATCCCCTACACCACATCACCTACACCACATCCCCTACACCACATCACCTACACCACATCACCTACACCACATCACCTACACCACATCACCTACACCACACCACCTACACCACATCCCCTACACCACATCACCTACACCACATCACATCACCTACACCACATCACCTACACCACATCACCTACACCACACCACCTACACCACATCACCTACACCACATCACCTACACCACATCACCTACACCACATCACCTACACCACATCACCTACACCACATCCCCTACACCACATCCCCTACACCACATCCCCTACACCACATCCCCTACACCACATCACCTACACCACATCACCTACACCACACCACCTACATAACATCAATTGTACAAGCAACTGTTTAGATCTAGTCCACAGTGACGCACGTTCACACTGACGCACGTCTACCTTGACGCAAATCCACAGTGACGCACGTCCACAGTGACGCGCGTCCAAGATGACGCACATAGAAGTTGACTCTAGACCGTTGAATAAACTGCTGCAGCAACATAGCCTACATTTTCAAACAATCTGCTGTTAATTAGAAATTCCTAAAACCAAGGGAAGTAATCGAAGAATTAGAAACCCGCTGGGTTAGGTTTTAGTCTCCCTTAAGTACGTGTGTATTTGGTCATCAAATTTACGTTTCAGATACCTCTCTCAACGGCTTGTTATAATTCTAACACGTGTGATAAAACTACCAATCACAAGACACCACCCACCCCAAGACACCACCTACCACAAGACACCACCTACCTCAAGACACCACCTACCACGAGACACCACCTACCACAAGACACCACCTACCACAAGACACCACCTACCACAAGACACCACCTACCACAAGACACCACCTACCACAACCCACCCCAAGACACCACCTACCACAAGACAACACCTACCACAACCCACCCCAAGACACCACCTACCACAAGACACCACCCACCCCAAGACACCACCTACCACAAGACACCACCCACCCCAAGACACCACCTACCACAAGACACCACCTACCACAAGACACCACCTACCACAACCCACCCCAAGACACCACCTACCACAAGACACCACCTACCCCAAGACACCACCTATCACAAGACACCACCTACCCCAAGACACCACCTATCACAAGACACCACCCACCCCAAGACACCACCTATCACAAGACACCACCCACCCCAAGACACCACCTACCACAAGACACCACCTACCACAAGACACCACCTACCCCAAGACACCACCTATCACAAGACACCACCCACCCCAAGACACCACCTATCACAAGACACCACCCACCCCAAGACACCACCTATCACAAGACACCACCCACCCCAAGACACCACCCACCCCAAGACACCAACTATCACAAGACACCACCTACCACAAGACACCACAAGACACCACCAACCACAAGACACCACCAACCACAAGACACCACCTACCACAAGACACCATCTTACCCAAGATTCCTTCTATAATTGTCAGATTTCTGTAAATTTTCTCCCACTCGATATGCCATATATTGAAGACAGTTACCTCAGGCTTCGTATGAGAACTAGCCTATTGTTACCTTACTCACCTGACCTTACCCAGACCCCCCCCCCACCCTCCGACCACCCAAAACCACCTTCAATCACTCTTGACGATATAACAACAGACAATACGTACTGATACAGTGGTAACTCAAAGCAAACACAGGATTTCTGTTTATTACGTACTGAGTGCTACATGTTACATGCTACATGCTACATGTTATCTGCTACATCAAAAACACACTTTTCTAAGGATAATCTTTGATACACTGATACACTTCATTATACTCAGCCAAGTAAAATAAACGAATTGAACAGATTAAACATGAATTGAACAGATTAAACATGGATTTAAAAGATTAAACATGAATTGAACAGATTAAACATTAATTGAACAAATTAAACATGAATTGAACAGATTAAACATGGATTTAACAGATTAACATGGATTTAACAAATTAATGAACCGTGATCTTCATTTGCGACTAGAGTAAAATTGTTTGTGAAGAACCATCTTGATATACCTACCGAAGGATTATCGCGACACACCTACTGACAGATTATCGTAATATACCTAGTTAAGGATTATCGTGATACACCCACTGAAGGATTATCGTGATACGCCCACTAAAGGATTATTGCGAGACACCTACTAAAGGATTATCGTGACACACCTACTAAAGGATTATCGTGATACGCCCACTAAAGGATTATCGTGAAGCGATAAGCCACGGGCTCCTACAGTTACACGTCTGGCATCCCCTGGGGTCCACGTCATAGCCGCCAGGGCAGGACGTGCCCCAGCAGTCGACCTGTGGACACTGCAGGGACCTGCAGGAGCAGACGTCACATCCGTTCTCGTCAGTTTGCCAGATGGTGCCATACGGACACCTGCAGGCCACCTGCGTGCAGGCTGCAGGCTTACATTCGCAGGTAGGACAGCCCCTGTCGTTGTCCAGAAATCCGCTGGGGCACCATCTCTTCGAACAGACCAGCTGCGGACATTGCAGAGGGTTGGGTTCGCATGAGCACCTGTCGCAACCATTTTTGTCCTTTTTCCAGATGACCTCATTCGGACACTTGCAGGCGACTCTCGGACACGTCGGTGCCAGACACTGACAGGTCTGGCAGCCGCTGTCGTCGTACACGTACCCGCCGTCACACGGCTGGCACTTCCGCAAGGGGCACTCGTTTATCTGGCACTCACACGTTTGACAGCCTCTGGCATCCCGCCGGTAGCCGGCTCTACACGGCCGGCAATCTCTGACGGGGCAACGATCCGGCTTACACCGGCACGTCTCGCATCCGTCGCTGTCAAGTTGATGGCCGTTCGGACATTTCCGGTTACACTGGAGCCGGGGGCAGCGCTGGACACAGCTACACGTCTGGCAGCCTCTAGTGTCGAACACGAAGCCGCTGGGGCAGTCGGCGTCACACCGCACCCGGGGACAGACGGGCTTCCGGCAGATGCAAGTCTGGCACCCGTCGACGTCCGTGGCGAAACCCTCGGGGCAGCTGACGCTAGGCAGGCAGGAGATTGTCGGGCAAACCTTGCTCCGGCATCGACAGTTTACCGGACAACCGTCGGCGTCCGTGTCGGTTGTCGAGCCAAACTGGCAGAAGTCGGGGCAGACGAGGGGCGGGCAGGTCTGGCACTGACACGTCGGGCAGCCGTTGACGTCCGTGGCCAAGCCGTCAGGGCACCTGAGGGTCGGGCAGGAGGTGGCGGGGCACTGTCTGCCCTTGCTGTCCAGGAAAGCTGGGGGAAAATTGGGGAGCTTATACAGGCTGTTTACAAAACAAGTCACATCACAAGTCGTTTTTCTCTGTCACAGGTAATTTTTCTCTGTCACAAGTCGTTTTTCTATCATAAGTCATTTTTCTCTGTCACAAGTCGTTTTTCTCTGTCACAAGTCATTTTTCTCTGTCACAATTCGTTTTTCTCTGTCACAGGCCATGAAGTAATTTACTGTTCACAAAAAGGTGACTGATACACTAGGCTTTAATATAAACAGAAACAGAAACTTGAAGTATCAGGGAAGATAAAGAAAGTATGAAGCGCGCGACATTATTGAAGGACATTGATTTGTCGAAGTCTGTGGACTACGTCACCGTTAGCAGGTTTGTAGATAACGTGTGAAAGATGACATCACAAACAGATGTTAAACCGACAAGAGATTGACGTTGTGTAACGGATGTACTCACCAGCGCACGTGCTTGTCATGCACGTGAACAGCAGCACACGTGTCAGGTGGTTCAAGGATGTCATGCTCATCAGTTAGGTCCACACGCCGACCACATCACACGTGAACCACACGTGAACCACACGTAAACCACACGTAAACCACACGTGAATGACACGAAAACCACACGAAAACCACACGAAAACCACACGAAAACCACAGCTGAAGATTTCAGCCCGACCGAAGAGTCTGCCATATATTCCGAGATTAACCAATGGCATGAGAGGAAATCTTCACCTCTTTACACATGTCAACTCTACTTCAATTTACCAAAGCAAACAATGACTGAAGCGCACTTCAAACAGCACCCCTAGCGCACCATACCTTTGTGGTGCGGGTGATCCAAGCCACACCTTGGGTACTCGTGTCATTTTATTCACATTTACTCAAGGAAAGCCTGAACATTGTGCCCGGGTTGTCCATGGCCCGGGTTGTCCATGGCCCGGGTTGTCCAAGGACCGGGTTGTCCAAGGCCCGGGTTGTCCAAGGACCGGGTAAACAATGGCCCGGGTTGTCCAAGGCCCGGGTTGTCCAATGCCCGGGTAAACCATGGCCCGGGTTGTCCATGACCCGGGTTATCCAAGGACCGGGTTGTCCAAGGACCGGGTTGTCCAATGCCCGGGTTGTCCATGGCCCGGGTTGTCCATGGCCCGGGTTGTTTACGCAGTGAATGGGGAAAAAAGACAGACAAAAAAAACCCACAGAAAAAAGTCTATTTCAAACGACTTAAATTCATTGCTATATTTTTACTTTCTCGTATATACGTAGTATAGAGAAAGTATTGTAATCGTGCAAAAAAAAAATCGAGATTTTTACAAATCTCGACGTTTTACACCTCACTGATACGGAAAAACATAATTTTGCAATCTTGTCCGTATGTCTGTGTGTGTGTGTGTGTGTGTGTGTCTGTGTGTCTGTGTGTCTGTCTGTGTGTAAACACGATTACTTGAGTACCGTTACAGCTAGGTTGATGAAATTTCATATATAAGTATTATATCAAAATCGTAGATCCGTATCAACTTTTGAGCGATTTCCGATAACCGGAAGTGGTACTTTTTCTACTTTGAATTTTTCAAAAGCCTATGACTTGAGTACTAATTCAGATAGATACATGAAATTTCACATGTAAGTAAAAGATCTAATTCTCTACCTTCTATCAAATTTTGAGTAATTTCCGTTTACCGGAAGTACTAATTTACGCTATTTCCGATTTCTCAAAAAACGCATGTAAATTTATAAAGTACTTAATAATATTGCGCACTATTACGCACATTTGGTTTTGGTGCTCGCTTGGTGCGCAATTTTTTTTTCTACTAGATTTTATTCTACTTTTAAAAGTTTAAGTAAACAAAAATCATGTCTATATTCCGAGTTGACATCCCACGTAGTGTTATATTAGAATATTCGAGAAAGTTTAGGGGAGATCACTCCCGGTTTATTTACATTTGGTTTAATAATTTATTTATTTTTCATATGAGGTTCGCGCTAGAAAGAAGCCGCTTCATAGATATTATCAGTCTGATTCAGATCAAGGGAATAACTGGTTAATTATATAAAGTTTATTTCAAAATAAAAAAAATACAAGTGGGATGTACAGAAGGAATAATGCTACACATACACAACGGACATGAAAATTATATGTAAACATGCTAAAGTTTGGAAAAATCTTTTTAAAATATGGCAAGCGAAACAATTATAGTTAAAAATGTAAAAATCTAAATAGTTTGGGAATTAAACGAATTATACTCATTTTTATATTTTAGTTTCGAATACAAGCCGTTAAAAAGCTGTTTAGAATTATTTTATCAATTCAAATATTTTCAAAAACTGCCCTCAACATCTCAATGAAGCCAACCGTAATGGCCAGGGAGAGTAAAGCAATAAAAGCCGGAACAATTGTTTTCCATGATACAAATACACAATAGTGATCTACGGTGAATAGCGTAGTATTGTATTTATATTAAATGATATAACATCCCCAATCACCACAACACCCTACTAATCCAAATTAAAACTAAAAGTGTTCTCTAATTTAATAGTATATTACGAGTTATTATTTCTTTGACTGTTTCTAGACCTAATGAAACACAAATGTTATAAAATATTATATTCAATTTTGGTTGAAGAATGTGCTTACTGGCAACACAAATTTGGAACCAGCTTTTCAAGTCTATTGGCGGGCCACCACTCAAACGCGTCAACATTTGACGTGCTACCGACACCTACGCGTATTTCATAAACACTAACAATAACAATAAAAAACAGGCAATATTACTCAATGATTTACTTAGCGTTTTAAAAAAATAATTTTAAATCAGTATAATAATAAACTGTGATTTCCAGCAAAGTTAAGCCGGGTCCACTTCAGCCGTCTCTGCAAGAGACACTTGCCGTTCTGCCGATGATGTTGCACGTACATTTATTGTAGGAGTTTCCATGGACAGTGTCTTTAAATACTTCTCCGCCTTTCCAACAGTTACCCTTGCTGTCCTGACAACCTGGGATAATGGTTAACATTACATCTCATCTCAACACTTGGTTAACATTACATCTCATCTCAACACTTGGTTAACATTACATCTCATCTCAACACTTGGTTAACATTACATTTGATCTCAACACTTGGTTAACATTACATCTTATCTCAACACTTGGTTAACATTACATCTCATCTCAACACTTGGTTAACATTACATCTCATCTCAACACTTGGTTAACATTACATCTCATCTCAACACTTGGTTAACATTACATCTCATCTCAACACTTGGTTAACATTACATCTCATCTCAACACTTGGTTAACATTACATTTGATCTCAACACTTGGTTAACATTACATCTTATCTCAACACTTGGTTAACATTACATCTCATCTCAACACTTGGTTAACATTACATCTCATCTCAACACTTGGTTAACATTACATTTGATCTCAACACTTGGTTAACATTACATCTTATCTCAACACTTGGTTAACATTACATCTCATCTCAACACTTGGTTAACATTACATCTCATCTCAACACTTGGTTAACATTACATCTCATCTCAACACTTGGTTAACATTACATCTCATCTCAACACTTGGTTAACATTACATCTCATCTCAACACTTGGTTAACATTACATTTGATCTCAACACTTGGTTAACATTACATCTCATCTCAACAATGGTTAACATTACATTTGATCTCAACACAGTAGCATCAGCCTGATCAGTTTTCTTATTGAGTATTGCAGTATTTCATTAAATAGTTAATCATTAATTTTAAATCTAATTACATTTTAATTAAATATATACGAATTGTTTGAAGTTAATATCTTAATAGGACACGGGACTGGAATGAGTTATTCGACTAAAAATCCACTTATTGCCCATCCAACAACCCACCAATTGAATAACCATGCACCCATCACCCACCCAACCATACACCCATCACCCACCCACCCAACCATCACCCACCCAATTATCCACCCATCACCCACCCAACCATCCACCCATCACCCACCCAACCATCCACCCATCACACACCCAACCATCCACCCATCACCCACCCAACCATCCACCCATCACACACCCAACCATCCACCCATCATCCACCCAACCTTTCACCCAACCATCCACCCAACCATCCACCCATCATCCACCCAACCTTTCACCCAACCATCCACCCAACCATCCACCCATCACCCACCCAACCTTTCAACCATCATCCACCCAACTTTTCACCCAACCATCCACCCATCACACATCCAACCATCCACCCATCATCCACCCAACTTTTCACCCATCACCTACCCAACCATCCACCCATCACACACCCAACCATCCACCCAACCATGCACCCATCACCCACCCAACCATGCACCCATGCACCCATCACCCACCCAACCATCCACCCATCACACACCCAACCATCCACCCATCATCCACCCAACCTTTCACCCATCACCTACCCAACCATCCACCCATCACACACCCAACCATCCACCCATCACCACCCAACCTTTCACCCAATCATCCACCCAACCATTCACCCATCACACACCCAACCATCCACCCATCATCCACCCAACCTTGCACCCATCACCTACCCAACCATCCACCCATCACACACCCAACCATCCACCCATCACCCACCCAACCATCCACCCATCACCACCCAACCATCCACCCATCACCTACCCAACCACCCACCCATCACCCACCCATCACCCACCCATCACCCACCCAATCATCCACCCAACCATCCACCCATCACCCACCAAACCATCCACCCATCACCCACCCAACCATCCACCCATCACCCACCCAACCATCCACCCATCACCCACCCTACCGTAAACCCAACAACCAATCTACCATAGCTTATTTAGCTTATCACCCCACCCCGAAATTTTCAAGTGTTACCCCCCCCCCCCCCCCCCCACGGAGAAAAATGTCTGTAAAACCAGTACACCCAGGCATCCATCTTTTATAAAACTACAGACCGAGAGTGACCAAAGAATCAAGTGGTGTAAGCAGGTCCAAACCTACGGATGTATTGACCAGAGAATCAAGGGGTGTAAGCAAGTCCAAATCTACGGATGTATTGACCAAAGAAACAAGGGGTGTAAGCAAGTCCAAACCTACGGATGTATTGACCAGAGAAACAAGGGGTGTAAGCAAGTCCAAACCTACGGATGTTTTGACCAAAGAATGAAGGGATGTAAGCAAGTCCAAACCTACGGATGTGTTGAGCTGTGATAGAGAAGTACATGTAGTCAGCCTTAGTGGTTCTCAGACAACTGTATTTGACGCAGCCGTGTTCAAACTCGCTGTTTGGTTTATAGCACTGGCCCAGGTGCTCACATCCTGGGGAAACAAAAGTTTTTCGCTTGGTACTCAGCAGTACAGGTCAAAAGACTGAGATATCCTTTTTACTTTCTCGTATACAAACATAAAGAAAACAAGATAACCTGAGTAGTAACGTTTCAGTTATGTTGACCAAATATCACATAGACTATTATATCAAATGTGTAGACTTCTATAGACTTTTGTGCGACTTCCAGTAAACGAAAATGGTATAAACTTTACTTGAGAACTATTTCAGTTACGTAAACGAAATTTCATTTTATAAGTAATTAGATTGCTTTCAATTTTTGAGTGACTTCCGATATCCGGATGTAGTACTCATTTTTCTTTTTTTTCTAAAATAACTTGAGTACTATTTTAGTTAACTAGACGACATTTCATACACATGTTTATGATCTTATTCGTTAAGTTTTCCCCAGCTCTTTAAGGTTCTAGTTCGTTAAAATCTGTCAAAGCCTCGATTAGGTTTTAGCACAATTACAGTGCACCCTTTATATTCCGTATACGATACAGTGGGGATGTATAAAACGGCGATAACTATTAAAATTACATTGAATGTTTGTGTATGATGACAATACTTTTTCTATTCTATGAACACAAGACAGTAAAAAGCAAAAACATTTGACTGCCCTTTCTGTTAAATGAGAATATAGTATAGGAGAGAGTTTAGGGGAGAGCACTCCCGATTTTTAAGGTTATGTTTCGTTAATTTGCAAGTGACTTTATCTCGGAGCTATAAAGCACAAAAGTTCATTGAACAATTGTATTGTACATCTCTCTTTTGGTTCAGAACTTAACATCAAAATAACAAGGTAATTAGTAATAATAAATGTAGATTACACCAACCTTCTTTGTAGATGCTGACTTTGCGATTTGCACATTTGTACTTGATACATTTGGATTTATGTAGATAGAAGGTTTCACCATCTTTATAATACTTTCCGTTCACTTTGCATTTGTTTTTCTTTTTCGCTATTTTGTCGTCTTCATCATAAATGACTGTTTTTGAAATCTCTTTACTTTCATCTTCATCCTCACTTTCATCTGAGGTGTTTTTATCTTTACTTTGATTCACTTCTTCACTTTTATCGTCGTCTTTACTTTCATCTTCATCGTCCTCTTCATCAACCTTACGAGCAGCAGCTTGAGCCAGTAAACAGGCGATGACACCTAGCACAAAAACTTTGGAGACCTGTAGAGGAAGTAGAGTATAGATTTATGCAAAACTCAACTGAATCAAGGTTGAGTATATTATGGACTGACAAACTAATGACACATTTACTTGCAAAATTTGACCCTAAATAACATTTCTAAATTTCAACAATTTATTATAAGAAATAAATGCCTAACCATTTTCCCCAACACAATTTCAGCCACTTTAGTAGAAGTCGATAGCTAGTACAGAGACGTGTCATTGCATGATGAGCCAATGATTAGACGACACGTAGAGGCCTGAGGTGGACCAACAGATGTTCCTTCTCACCGCTCGGTGATTGAGTGAGTCGAAATACACTCTGGAATGGCGACATTTCAACTATTTTCCTGTCTTTACGTCATTTTGGTTTAGCTCGATGTTTGGTTTATAACCTAGATACAAATACAATTTAAATTATGCTATCCTAGTAATACTAAACAATTAAATTTAACTACACTAAACTAAAATTAAAATAATTTTTACTTTTCTCGTACTGTATACTGTATGTCTGTGTATTGTATGTTTGTTTACTGTATGTATGTGTATTGTATGTCTGTGTAATGTATGTCTGTGTGCTGTATGTCTGTATTCTGTATGTCTGTGTAGTGTATGTCTGTGTGCTGAATGTCTGTTTACTGTATGTCTGTGTACTGTGTACTGTATGTCTGTGTACTGTGTACTGTATGTCTGTGTACTGTATGTCTGTGTACTGTGTACTGTATGTCTGTATATTTTATGTCTGTGAAATACCATTTTGTTAAGAGGGTGTAATCTATATAATCGCAAATCTTGTGGCGTACGTGGTCATGATTGAATGTGGAAATCTAAACGCGTGGACCTTTTCAACGCGTGGACCGACCTATTCAACGCGTGGACCTATTCAACGCGTGGACCTATTCAACGCGTTGACCGGTTCGATTAATTTACACCACGATGATTACAACAAAGAGGGCCGTCGTTAAATGACATGAAGATTCAAGTTGTTTTTAATTTTTCAAAAATTTGTTTAGGCGACCTCACTTCCACCATTTTAGGTCTCCAAAATTTAAATATTTTGCGCTGCGTTCATCAATTTATTGACTTATTTATAGACTTCTATATTTACCTATTTAGTATTTATTTATATTTCTGAAATATAAACAGGTCTAAGGATGTAAGGAAATTAGATATTTTCATAATGTAAAATGCTGCTATAATATAAAAAAGGTTTTAATTTTAATTTTTTTATTTTAAAAACTCAACAAAAAACTTAACTCAACATTTAATGTAAATGTGGTGCAAAGCGTGCATTACCAGTTCAACGCTTTCAGATGGGTATACAGGTTTTTGGGCGAACTACAATAGGGGAAATAATCCCATTCTTAATAACACAAAAAAACAGTAGCTAACTAAAATAAACCGGGAGTGATCTCCCCTAAACTTTCTCGAATATTCTTATATAACTTGAAATATAGACATGATTTTTAATTACTTAAACTTTTAAAAATAGAATAGAATCTCATAGAAAAAAAGAATTGCGCACCAAGCGAACGCCAAAACAAAATGTGCATAATAGTAATATTATTAGTACTTTATAAATTTACATGCGTTTTTTTAAGAAATCGAAAATAGCGAAAATTAGTACTTCCTCTCAACGGAAATTACTCAAAATTTGACAGAAGGTAGAGAATTAGATCTTTTTCTACTTTTAATTTTTCAAAAGCCTATAACTTGAGTGCTATTTCAGATAGATAAATGAAATTTCACATATAAGTAAATTTTGAGTAACTTCCGTTTAGCGGAAGTAATAATTTAGGCTATTTTCGATTTCTCAAAAACCGCATATAAATTTATGAAGTACTAATATTATTCCGCACTATTATACACATTTTATTTGGCGTTCACTTGGTGTGCAATTCTTTTCTCTACGAGATTCTATTCTGTTTTTTAAAAGTTTAAGTAATTAAAAATGGATTAAAAAATGATATCTAGATCTATATCCCGAGTTGCCATCCCCCGTAGTGTTATATAAGAATATTCGAGAAAGTTTAGGGGAGATCACACCCGGTTTATTTTCTGTATAACTTTTTTTTTGGTTTGGACTCAAGTTAAGTGACGTTACTTTAAGTAAGGTGTATGTTTTTTAATTTTTCTGAAAATAATATATTTGTTCTGAATTTGTATTATCAAAAGATGTTTTTTTTTCTATAAATGAATTAATCTAATATATAAAGCTCAATTCTGTATGTAACTTGTAATAAGTTTGTCGTTGACATACTTCAATGGATTTAAGTGTTAGATTATTATCGTGCTCATAGTCTAAATTTATGAGTTAAAAAATTACTATTGAAAGTGTTGGGGAATAATTTTCATTTTTCAAACTGATAGTAATAATTGTCGCGGCATGTTCTTTAAACACAATTTTTAAAAATTATCATCTTTTACAAAAATTCTAATTATGTCTGAAAATTTTTTATATTTAGTCCTTTAGCACTTACTTCCCTTTGATAAATTAGGAAAACACAATTACTTCCCTTTATACAACATTGCATTAGTGGAAAAGAATTTACATTTTTATTACTTTGTTTTGGTGTTGGGAAAAAATAATTACATTATTAGCGGGGATTGATCAAGTGCAAATGTTGTAGGTATTTTACGGTTATGCTTGGAATATTATAATTGTTCATTAAATTGAAACAGGTGCGTCCCCCGGCGCCCCACCAGGGTTCAGTTTGGCGCTCTGGGCTATCCTGTGAGCGCTATGGTGCACAATTTCGCTTTAAACAGTGCGATAGAGTATGGATAAGAAAGGTTACTATAGTCTTTAAGTGAATCGAATCCGGGCGTCCTCTGGCGCCCAGACATGGTGCTATTTGGGGCCCCGGGCCTCCCGTGTTCGGTTTGGCGCCTACGTTCGTTTAAGTAAGTGCAAAAGACTATGAATAAGTTGGGGTACTACAGTCGTTTATTAAGCTGAAACAGGCGATTCCACCCCGGGCTAGACTGTGGACACTTTGGGTTTATGTTCGCGTTAGTGTTTTCTTTGTGTTTAGGTTGGGTTTGCGTTAGTGGTTGCGTTTTGATTTGGTTCGTTTTTGTTCTTTCTTTTTTCGTTTTCGTTTGTGTTTTTTTCTTTGGGTTTGTATTTGTGTTTGTGGTTGGTTTTGCGTTTGGATTTGGTTTGTTTTCGCTTGCTTTTTCATTTGTTTTTTTCTTTGGGTTTGTGTTTGTGGTTGGTTTTGGATTTGGTTTATTTTCGTTTGCTTTTTCGTTTTTTTTCTTTGTGTTCGTATTGGTGTTTGTGGTTGTGGTTGGGTTTGTTGTTAGGTTTTTGTTTTCGTTTGCTTTTTTGTTTGTTTTTTTTCTTTGTGTTTGTATTGGTGTTTGTGGTTGTGGTTGGGTTTGTTGTTAGGTTTTTGTTTTCGTTTGTATTTGTAATTGTGTTAGCGTTATGTTTGCGTTTTGTTGTTTAGGTTTTGGTTGGTAGTGGTTTGGGTGGGCAATGCCGGGTTTATGATGATTAATAAACACACAGGTAATGGTCTTTAACAGAAAGGTTTTTCACAGAAGCCAGAGCAGGGCCTGGTCGGGATGGCTAGTATGTCAATAAATTAGTAATATTGTCGCTAATTAAATTTGTGTATAATTATTTTGGGAATTTTTTTTTCTCTTCATAAATATGTATTTTACAGTTCTACACATTTTGCAAGTAAATAAATAAATATACAAACTTGTATGTGGTCGAGTCGGTAAAGCTCATGGTTGCTAAACCGAAAAATCACGAGTTCGAACCCTCGGACAGATGAGGCTCGTTAGCTGGGCAAAAAGCTCATGGTTGATACATTCGAACAGTCTCGAGTTCAAACCCTCTGGCAGATCCCCTTCAACACTAATAATTAAGAACGAAGAAGAAGAAGAAGAAGAAGTAAAAAAAAAAAAAAACTTGAATTCTAATATTGTACTAAACTATCCGTCATCCTTTGGATAACTTGGTTTGGGGTGAGGGGGGAGGGGTCATCCGTAAATAACATTGTATCCGTCACTTACCTTCGACGACGACGACAGTATTCGCCCCGTTACGCCTCTGGGTAAGGGATATGCATAGCGATTGGGGAAAATAAAGTTGGATACGGATATATATATATATATATATATATATATATATATATATATATATATATATATATATATATATGTATATATATATATATATATATACATATACATATACATATATATATATATATATATATATATATATATATATATATATATATATATATGTGTGTGTGTGTGTGTGTGTGTGTGTAGTGGAATCGGTGGGGTAATGTAAAAAAATTAATTAAGATATGGACAAAAATAGGGAAACGGATAATTTTGAAATAAGTATAGCGATAGGGATAAGGAATAAATAGAGCTAGCTAAAGGAATGTGCAAGGAATATAATAATACCCAAGTTGAGATTAATTGGGTGTAATGTCTTAAATCACAGACACATATATGACTGAGGTTAATTTAACTTGACACAGTGTTTCTTCCAGGCATCACTTCAGGGGGGGGGGGGGGGGAAGGCTGAAAAAGTCTACCACCCCGAACGAAATGGAATTTATATAGAAAACTAGGCATACTGCCTAGCTTCGCTTAGGTTTTTAAATAACATTTGAGAATTTGAATACTTAATTATTTAGCGATGGATTGGGTGTGGGGTGATTTAATTTAAACAGTAATGCTAAGTTTAGAAAAAAAAATGTTTTTGTTTGTCATTTAAATACCGTTCTCAGCGAAATAATGGAAAGTACGCACTGTATAACTAAAATGGAATTAGAACTACACAGGTTCCATGAACAGTATATCTCATAGTTTATATTACATTGCCTTTTGAAATTTATTTATTTATTTAATTAGGATACGTAACTGAATTAACAACTTAATTTTGTACTAAAACAAATGCTATACTTCGTCATTTTCTGTTTCTGTTTAAAATAGTATACAATTATTTGAAAAATAATAATTTTACAAACGTTACCTCCCTTGAAAACTGAACGTATGACGTAAGTCTTTGTTTACTTTTTTTTTACAAACAGTTGCTATGCTTATATAAGAAATTACGGTATAGTTTATATTACATTGCCTTTTGAAATTTATTTATTTATTTAATTAGGATACGTAACTGAATTAACAACTTAATTTTGTACTAAAACAAATGCTATACTTCGTCATTTTCTGTTTCTGTTTAAAATAGTATACAATTATTTGAAAAATAATAATTTTACAAACGTTACCTCCCTTGAAAACT